TCATTTGAAAACATGAATGAATCTGAAGGGCCTTTTGTCAAGCAAATAAGACAGACACAGACAAATACTGCATGTCTCCCCTCCTTATGGACTCAAAATGGTCAGAGCAGGAGGGAGGAGAATGGAGGAGGATGGAAGGTGTTGGTCAAGGGCAGCAGTTTCACTTACGCAAATTAATAGTTCTGGAATATAATATACAGCATAGTTTTTTAATATTTATTTTTATTTTTTTGTATGAGTGTATTGCCTGCATGTGTGTAAGTGTATCCATGTCAGGCAGTGCCTATGGAGGTCAGAGGAAGACATTGGATTCCCCTGGAACTGAAGTTACAGACCTGGGTCCTCTCCAGCCCCAACATATATGGCATAATTAACAATCATATATTTTACGTTTTATGAAATACTAAGTAATCTTGCTGTGAAAAAAATAGAAAAAAGGTATGTGAGTTGATAATTATTTTGATTATGTGAACATTTCACAATGTATGTAGAACTTAAAAATATTGAATTAGGAAGCTGGAGAGGTGGCTCCACTCGAAACCACTTGTAACTCCAGCCCCAGGGCATCCAGTGACCTCTTCTGGCCTCCAGAGGCCCCCACGCACAAACATAAAATTTTAAAGCTATACAAAGTATACAGAAGTGATATGTAAGGGGCTTGAACATCCACAGATCTTGCTGATCTTTGGGAGTCCTGGCACCAAATTCTTGTGGATACCTAAGCAATTGAGATGCCAGAAAATGTATGTTGCTTTTTTACTACTTCACCAAGCATTCTGAGATTAATCTAAGAAAACCAATATGAGATACAATCTAAATATGAACAGAGTGGGAGAGTAGCCCTACTGGCTATTTAAGTTTGATACTAACAAGTATATTCATGAAATCCCAGTAAGTAAATAACTAAACATAATTGTGAAACAAGATCAAGTCCACACAGGAATTTCACTTATTTAAAAGGCAGTTTATTAGGAGGGGGGGGGTGTGTATGTGTGTGTGTATGTGTCCATATGGGAAGTAAAAGTTAATGTAATTCTCCAGTTTGTTCCTTTATATAAAATTCTGTTTGAATCAGTAATATGTGTTTTAAGATATGAGGCCAAAAAATGATCTGAATTTTGGAATATTTACCACTGATAGAAGTCAAAGCATACTTACATTCAAATTATTAACAGTGGTGTAGTCTTAGCTTCTATTTTGAAGAGAAGTATTCACATAGGTCCTCACTATTTTTTTTCTTTTCAGCCTATTTTTTCTCACTCACGGTTAGCTAACAAATTTGAAAGCAGTCTCTATAAAAAGTGCAGTTGCATTAAAAACGTTCGTTAGTTCCCTCTGTGTGCAGTTCAGGTTCTGGGCTCCACTGACCTGGGCTCACATGGTATGTTCCTGCTGTTGAACTATGGTTGGAGAATAAGGAAAAATTGCTCTTATTTTATGTAGCAAGCTTCTTTAACTAATGAGATACATTTGATTTCAACATTTAAAGTAAAAACAGGGCTAGAAGAATTGACTCAGCAGATAAGACTGCTTGCTTCACAGCATGGTGATCTGAGTTCAGATCCTCAGCACCCACATAAAATCCTCAACTGTGTTTACACCTGTGACCCCAGCACTGTGTGAGGTGTGAAGACAGGAGGATCACTGGGGTTTGCTGACTGCAAATCTAGCTCCAGGGTCAGTGAGATAGCCTGTCTCAAAAAAATAAGAGAATGATAGAGTAGGATGTCCTCCTCTAGCCTCTGTGTACATTTATGTACACACATGCACATATAACATACACACACACACACACACACATAAAGTAAAAACAATTTTAAAAATAATATCAGTTAAAGCCGGATGTGGGGGTGCATTACTTTAATCCTAGTACTTAGGAGGCACAGGCAGGCAGATCTCTTGAGTTCAAAGCCAACCTAGTCTACATAATAAGTTCCAGTTCAAGCTGGGGCTACAGGGAGACTCTGTCTCAAAAACAAAAAAGTAATACTCAAAATTTGCAAATTAAAATCTGTCGTTTGTACCTCTCGGTTCACTGGTGTTTTTTCATTGAGTAATTCAGCAATATTTATTGGGTACTACTGTGTGCTAGACATTTTTCTAAAGACTGACACTAAAATGTTGAATGAAATAAATTGAGTTACAGAGCTTACGGTATAGTGGGATGAGACAAACAGTAAGCATGTAAAAGGAGAATATGTCAGATAAGAATGGTGCAGTGGGGAAAATGAAGCCGGACAAAGGAAACCAAGAGTTCAATCAGGGACCTGAAAGAATTGATGGAGAGGTTTGTGGCCATCCAGGCAAAACGCAATCCAGACAGAAGAAACAGTCTTGAAATGGCACCATGATGAGTTAATTAAAAAACAGCATGAGAGCTGTGCAGTTTGCAGGAAATAAACCATAGTAGAGTAATAGATAGTATCACTGAGAGGGGACAGAGATGCAGATCCTACCGGCTACAGCCATTGCAAAGACTTTGGCCTTCATGCTGAATGAAACCAAAAGGCATTGGAGGGTCTTAAATAGAGGCATCATAGGGCCAGCCTGACTTTTCAAAGCATCCTTCTGGCTGTTGGGGTGAGAATAGTCCACAGAGGGCTGTCTTAGAGGCAGTGTGACAAGTTAGAAGACAGCAATCTGGATGGACCAGAGTAGTGGCAGTGAAGAGAGACTGATATGGCTAGATTCTGGAAACATTTCAAATATGTCAGCCAATGGTTTGGCTATAGATAGAGTGTAGGAGACAAAAAGAGAAAGGATGACTCCCAAGACTTAGGACTTGTCAACCAAAAGGATGCAGCTGTGATATTAGACTAAGGAGAATGACAGGACAAGATTTGGGGGGAAGAAGTGAATCGAGATTTCAATCTTCACCATTTTAATCACCTATTAGAAATCCAGTTGGTCAGGGCCAGCAAGATGGCTCAGTAGGGAAACACAGTTGGTGCCAAGCTTGACAACATGAATACAGAGTCCCCAGGACCCACATGGTTGTGGAAGAGAACTGACTCGTCTAAGTTATCTTTTAACCTCCACAGTAGTGTGCATCTGATCCCCGAAACACACAAACATAATTTTTTATGTTTATGAGTGTATTGCCTGCAAGTATGTAAGTGCATTTGTGTTTTGCAGTGCCCGTGGAGGTCAGAAGAGGGTGTTGGATCCCCTGGAACTGGAGTTAACTGATGGTTGTGAGCTGCCATGTGAGTGCTGGGAATCAAACCCAGGTCCTTTGCAAGAGCAGCTAGTGCTCTTAACCACTGAGCCATCTCCAGCCCCAATTTTTTTTTTCTTTCAAAAAAAGTAAATCCACTTGGATCTTGAGGAAGGCAATTAGAATGTAAGTCTAGAATTCTAGAGAGGGTCCAGGAGAGATGAAATTTTGGAACTTGACAGCACTTAAGATTTGCATCCATTTTTTTGCTTTGAGAATTTGGCTTAGTGTCTACTTATCCATGGTGTTTTACTTTTAGTCACTTAAGGCATGAGTTTGTTACTTTTTAGCATGTGAGAAAATTGTGATGGCTAGAATTGCAAAGATTGTAATCTCCAAAATGTAATTAATGACCATAATTGCCTCTTACAATAGAGAGCTTATGTTACAGCTGACTGCTGACATGATCATTTCAGTCTTCATAGCATCCAACATGGAATATAAATAACAGTAATTATGTACCATAAATTATCTTATTTTTACCAAATATACATAATTGTGCAAACAATTTTAGAACACGTTCATTGCCCCTTAAAGATCTGTAATCCAATTTTCATTCACATAAAATTCTCAACTATAGAGTTGCCTTAAATATTTCATGTACAAGGAATCATTTATGTCTGTACACACATGCACACAAAATAAATGTAAAATTTTTTAAACAATATTAACTTTTAATATAGAAGTCTGTTTTGAATTGAGTACTTTTATTTATTTACTTATTTGTGTGTGTGTATGTGTGTGTGTGTGTGTGTGTGTGTGTGTGTGTATATACACATGGAGGTTAGAGGACAGTTTGTAAGAATCAGTTCTCTTTCTACCAAGTTGTTCCTGAGGGTTGAACTCAGGTCATTTGGCTTAGTGGAAGGCACCTTTACCTGCTGAGCCATCTCAACAATCCCCTCTTTTTGTATGTTTGTTTGTGGTTTGTGAGGTTTGGGGGAGATTTATGGGGTGTTTGTTTTAGTCTTTTGAGACAGGCTCTTGCTATGTAGCCCTGGCTGACCTGGCACTCAGTGTGTAATCCAGGGTGGCCTCAGACTCAGGGTAATCCTCCTGCCTCCGCTTCTCAAGTGCTGGATTTACAGGTATACACCATCACACTTGGCTTTGAATTTTCAATTTAATGTGAAAACACGTTCCATTTTATTAATAGCCTGTTTAATTCTCAAATGTGGGTTTCATTTCACCATTTTCAGTGTTTATGCAGTGATAAACCTTTGATAAATTTGATAGTCAACACCTGACTTAAAAGAACACGGACGTATGAAAACACTTTGCTAATGTGTTTTCAAATGAATAGCATTTCAGAGAAACTGCTATTGCCTGGATTGAAAATGGTCTTTAAATGATAGCATTGTTGTTTTTTGCTTATTTGTTTAAAACAGGGTGTTGCTATGTTCCCCAGGCTGGCCTTCAATTTCTAGGCTCAAGTGATCTTCCTGCCCCTACTGCCTATTTAGAATTTCTTTAAATTGCTTATTTGTTAGAATCTCTTTGTACAGAAAATTATATGGACTTTAAATATCTTTAGCAAGAACACCCTACATGTTCCCACTGTGCATGGTGGTGCAGGCCTATAATCCCAGCCTAGTGAGACAGTCCTTCAGTCAAGAGTATCATAAGTTCAAGAACAACCTGGGCTACATAGTGAGACCTGTTAAAAGAGAGAGGGACGAGAGTGGGGAGAGATGAAATATGCTCAGTTTTATTACTCTAATAAAACCAAACAATTAACTTTCCTAGTTTGATGCTGTTTTAAAAGGTTTGTTTTCTACCTTAGATGCAGACCAACAACGAAGAGAGAAACTGAAAAAGGAATTGGCACAATATGAAAAGGAGTTCAAATTGAATAAATCTGTCATGCAGGGCAATTCCAAAATGAATTCCAAGTCACTTTTTCGCTCCCTACAAAAGGTAAGAGTCTATTTTTTGGCTTTTCCTTGGTTTGGTTTGGTTTGGTTTGGTTTGGTTTGGTTTGGTTTGGTTTGGTTTGGTTTGGTTTGGTTTGGTTTGGTTTGGTTTGGTTTGGTTTGGTTTGGTTTGGTTTGGTTTGGTTTGGTTTGGTTTGGTTTGGTTTGGTTTGGTTTGGTTTGGTTTGGTTTGGTTTGGTTTGGTTTGGTTTGGTTTGGTTTGGTTTGGTTTGGTTTGGTTTGGTTTGGTTTGGTTTGGTTTGGTTTGGTTTGGTTTGGTTTGGTTTGGTTTGGTTTGGTTTGGTTTGGTTTGGTTTGGTTTGGTTTGGTTTGGTTTGGTTTTGGTTTGAGGGCTTTTGGGTTTTTTGAAACAGTCTCTTTGTAGCCCCAACTGGCCTTGAGTTCTGTGTATCTGAACACTTTTTCTGCTTGAAAAGTGCAGAGGAGCTGTAGGCCAGTTTTTAGTTGCACAGTGATATCACATCCTTTGCAAAGACTACACTGGCTACAATGAAGAGCAAGCTGATTACAAGATACCTGCCATGCTCTGGGAAAGAAAGACCTCGTCTAGGTACTATAGAGACCTCAGGGAATACTCCTAGTTTATTTAGAAAGAAAATTGCTGGGACTTGGTATCTGATTTGATGACATGAAGAGAAGAGACAGGAGTTAAAGAGACTCCCAGGTTTCTGGCTTGGGCAGCTGGGAAGATGGCCATATGTCATTCATGGAAGAATGAGAACAGGGTGAGGTACAGGTTTTCTTCTGGGGTGAGGGTGATACGAGGCATGAGTTTACTTGTTTAGGCATGTCTAAGTTGAGGTGCCTTAAGAACATTGAACATAGTCAGAAGATAATTGGATATAAGCATCTGTTTCAGGAAGGAGATCTGGCCTGAAAATAAATTTGGGAGTCATGAGGGGATGTAAATATGGTTGAGAACTCGCTGGTCCATTGCATAGATAAAAGAGCCAGGAATAGATCTGCTTCCCTCAGAATAAATCTACTCTATGCTCTGTACTGTAATTTACCATTTGTTAATCTGCTCATCCATGTTGGATTCAAAAATATATTTCATTTTTAAATTTTTTTTAATTTTTATTTTATGTGTGTGACTGTTTTGTCTACATGTATGTAAGTGTACCACATGTGCGCAATGCCCATAGAGGCCAGAAGACTGCATTATATATCCTGGAACTGGAGTTATAGACAGTTGTTAGCCACCATGTGGGTGCTGGGAACCAAACTCCGGGTCCTTTGCAAGAACAGCCAGTGCTCTTAACCACTGAGCCATCTGTCCAGTCCCTATATTCATTTTTTAAAGATTTTTTTATGTGTATTGTGAGTGCCTGCATGCATGTGCACCATATGCATACCAGGTGCCTGTGGAGGCCAGAAGAGGGCATCAGATTCCCTGGAATTTGAGTTGTAGAGGTTTGTAAGCTGAGAGTGTGACCATGTGGGTGCTAAGAACCAAGCCTGGGTCTTCTGGAAGAGAAACAAGTACTCTTAACTGCTGAGCCATCTCTCTGGCCCTGTATTTTCATATTTTGTGATTGTATTTTTGACTAAATTTTAAAAATATTTATTCTCTAACAGTTTTTAATATAAATTAATAATTTTGAGATAAGAAGAGGGTTGTTGCTATGTGTGGTGGCACACACCTTTAATACCAGCACTCAGGAAGCAGAGGCAGGTGTATCTCTGTGAGATCAAGGCCAGTCTGGTCTACATAGCAAGTTCCAAGGCAGCTGGGGCTACAGGGAGACCCTGTCTCAAAACCAAACAAACAAAAAAATGGGGTTATTGAAATTTTTTAATTACATATTTTAATGTAGTTTATGTATTGTATATAATATAGAACAAACATTATTTTAATATATGTCCATTCATTTTTCCTTTATTACCTGTAATCCTTTAACTGGTTTACCTCCAGAGTAGTTCATTTGTTTTGAATACACTTTTTTTTTTTTTTTTTCGGTCTTTCTGAGACATGGTCTCCCTGTAGCCCCAGCTGTCCTGGAACTCACTATGTAGACCAGGCTGGCCTTGAACTCACAGAGATCCACCTGCTTCTACCTCCTGAGTGCCGGTATTAAAGGCGTGCACCACTATAACCGGCTTTGAATACACTTTTTAAAATTAATTTCCAGCTTGCCTACATTTTTAATAAGCCTTAAATAAACACATCCAAATTCTCTTGAAATTATCATTCTGAGTAGCTTATTTTGATAATTGGATGGATTTTATGATTAACAGATACTTGTTATTAAAATATATTTACTGGAGCTGAAAAGATGGCTCAGAGTTAAGAACACTGGCTGTTCTTACAGAGGATCCAGGTCCAGTTCCCAGCACCCCACATGGTAGTTAACAACCAACCATAACTCCAGTTCCAGGAGATTTGATGCCCTCTTCTGGCCTCAGCAAGCATTGCAGGACATGGGTGTACTTATACACAGGAAAAACATTCATACACATAAAAATAAATAAATGTTTTAAATAAATAAATAATTGAATGCATTCACTGAAAAGATTGCTACCAGTGAAAATACTGGCTCTGGCCTCTGAGTATCTTAGCAGTTTATATACATGAGATCATATATCAAAACCTTTATCTTCATTGCCCAAATTCCCACACTGCTTTCCTTTCCTCACTGACTTGTTTTGCTTTCAGAACCCTTCAAAGCACTTCCCATCTTGTACCTACTACAGAGTTATATCCTACTTGGTCAGTGTTCCCACAGGCCCTCCCATGGTGTAGCACTCACTATGTGCCGTAGTAACTGAATATGTGGGTGTGCTCTCTATTTCTGAATAGAGATGAAACATTTCAAAGCAGTATCAAATAATGAAAATCAAAAGCTATCCATTTCCTTTTTTATAAAATATAAATTAAACTTTTTGTAAAAGAAGTGTTAGATTTTTTTTAGTAATATACTCCAAACTTATCCTGCAGTGGAATTGATTTTTCAGTTATTTCAAAATCTGGCAGTTGTGAGATCATACTATATGATTCCTTCTGACATTATCCCCAAAGAAGATTTATAAGTCAGTTCTGTGATTGTAAAATTGGGTAGGTGTTCTTGACATGAACATGAGTCTGTAACCAGTGGGTGATTATTACTTTACATAAATCTGAATCACAGAAACAGTTTACAGCAGATGACATCACATGTCAGCACGATGACAGCAGAGGGAGTGGGCAAGTCACCACCACACTGCTTGGTCCGCACAGTACAGCGGCCTGCTTTTCAAGTTGGGGGTGAATGCACCAATGTATTAAATATATTTTGTGCAAATATCTATCCAAGCTTTCCAATATTTAGAACTAAAGAAAATAATTGTATAATTGTGAAAAGCAGATTAGTACAGTGGTTTTCATACTGTGTTGTGGTGGCTTTGGGGACAAGGGGGGGGAAAGTAGAATAAAGGTAGAATTTGAGATGTGGAAAATATAGAAAAGTTCCATGCTTTCTTTGGGCTCAAAAACAGTTTTGCCAATCCATATGAGACAGTAGACAGTATTTCCCCCCCCCCCCCGCTTTTTTTTAACCAGTGCTGGGCATTGAACACAGGACCTTGTGCATACTAGGCAATTTTGTTTTCATTTACTTGTTTTGTGTGTATTGCACACACATGGAGGTCTGCAACTTGTGGGAGTCAATTCTCTCCTTCCACCATGTAAGTTCCAGGGCTCAAACTCAGCTCATTAGGCTTGGAAACAAGTGCCTTTACCCACTGCACCATCTTGCTGGCCCCCAGCTCTGTAGTTCTATCTTCAAACACTCTCTTTGATATTTTATTTTAATAAAAAAAGATCACTGAAGGTGGGCATGGTGGTGCCTGCCTTTAATCCCATCACTTGGGAGGCAGAGGCAGGCCAGCCTGGTCTACATAGCAGTTCCAGTTCCAGGCCAGCTGGGGCTATAGGGAGACCCTGTCTCAAAAATACCAAAAAAAAAAAAAAAAAAAAAAAAATCACACTGATAAGAATTTCCTTACAGGCAATCTAATGCCTTATGTATTTCTCTTTGCTCTGATCTTAGCTTATACCGTTCTTCTGGGTGCAAATAATGTTTATGGTTATTAATTAGTAGCCCTGTAATATTTAGAAATGTCTTTCCAAGGAGCCAAACCTCGAATATAAGCTGTAATGTGAGCCTAGTTTAGCAACACTTTTTGGGGGGGCAACAGGGGAGTTGAGACAGGGTCTCCCTGTAGCCTAAGCTGACTTGGAACTTTCTATGTAGACAAGGCTGGACTTGATCTCAGATATCTACCTGCCTCTGCTTCTTGTGTGCTGGCATTAAAGGCAAGCACCACTATGTCCTTCTAGGAAAACTTTTTAAAGCTAATGTGCTGAAGTCATTTCCCAAATAGTAACCTAGGGACTCAAAACTTAATGCCAGAGTACTCACTTTGAGTAATTTTGTCCTGCATTTGGGGAAAGAAAGAATGCTTGGAAAGGAAATAATGTATCTTGACCTATTTTAGCACTTGCCTAGCAGCACAAGTCCAAGTTCAGTACCCATCACTGAAGAAAAAAAAAAAAAAGGTAATGATTATATTACTACACAGAAATTGTGGCCAAGATTAAATGAGGTAAATTAATTTACACGTGTAATTAATCCAGATATCTCCAGTTATATGAATTTATCATGCAGTCGATGACTGTTGAATCAAATGTTCTTAGCCCTCAGGGGAACCGAAAAACCAGGATGTGTTAATAGAAGTGAACAGATTTCCATCATTTTCGAAGTCACTAATCTCTTCTTCAAATGGATTATACGTAAGTCAACCTAAAGCAGATAACATCGTCATGAATAGCATTGAGAACTCCAGCGCCTCTCCATCCATCATAGATTATGCAGCCTCTGGACCCAGGAACCTGAGCTCTGGACCTGGGTGTGACAGGAAACCCAAGAGCTCATATCCCAGCACCCACCGTTTTCAGCTAGTCATTTCCAAAGCATCCAGTGGGGATCTTTTGGAAAAACATTCTGACCTCTTTTCTAACAAGCAATTGCCATTCACTCCACGAACTTTGAAAACAGAAGCAAAATCTTTCTTATCACAGTATCGCTACTACACACCTGCCAGAAGAAAAAAGAATTTTCCAGATCAGCAGATAGACGCTGAAACCCAGACTGAATTAAGCAGGTTTGTATGGCAAGTCCACAGCCCAGAGTAAGGCCAGCAAGTACAATGAAAACAGACTAGCAAGCAGTATCCTTGCTTTCTACTGTGTTCCTTATACCAGCTTCAAGATCTGGTAGTACCTTGATTGGAATGAGTTAATATGGCTTTTCAGTGAGTCTTTAGAAGTATCAGAGTAATTGTTGAAAAAATAGCTGTTAAATTTATCCAGTTCTTATAAAGAGTGCCATTCAAGTTATTGTAAACATAGTTCTAGAACTTTTGTATTTTTTTAAATGTTATGATTTTAGAGAATTCTTAAAATATGTCACCAGACAGCATTTGTGCAAATATACATACTGATTCAGGATGACAATGGTAAAGCAGTGGGGCCCAGAGGAGAAAAATGAACATTATACAGTTCCTCCTGTAGCCCTTCCTGGCTCATGTTCACTTGTAATGGACTGTCCAGGAGTGACTTTGACAGCTGAGAGAATATCTGGAAAAAAAAGTATAATTTGCCTCAATGTTTTCAGATCCAGTAGTGCCTGGTACATGTGAATATTCATTACATTTGTCAAGTGATTCAAGAAACAAATTTTATAACATTATGTAAGTGACTTATCTGGTAGTAGATTTTAGTTACTAAAAAAGTAAAAAATTGCCAGGTGTGGTGGCGCATGCCTGTAGTACCAGCACTTGGGAGGCAGAAGCAGGTGGATCTCTGTGAGTTCAAGGCCAGCCTGATCTACATAGTGAGTTCCAGGACAGCTGGGGCTTCAGGGAGACCCTGCTTCAAAAACACACACACACCAAAAAAAGTAAAAAGTAAAAAAAGTAAAAAATTATCAGACTAGTAAGTTTCTTTGGCTGTAAGTAAGAGGGGCAGTGGAAGCAGCTAAATCTGAGTGTAGTCACTAAAAAATGAAGGGACTGAATCCATAATAAATGTCATCAGGTAGGGAGAAGTGAAAAAGTCGGGGCTTGATCTGGCAGCAAGGTCTAAAATGGAAGCAGTACAGACTACCATAGCCCCGCACGAGGGTGGCGCACAGATTGGTGGATCACTCCATATTGTCCATGAATGTGGGAAAGGGGCCTCTAGGAAGAGGGGGTGGTGGGTGGGAGGGAGACTAGAGAGGGCGCAGAGTGAAAGAAACAGATGACTTTACATGTGTGAACAAGCGGTAAAAAAGATTAAAAAGAAATGAAGAAATCATATCATATCCTTTCATGATTTGCTTTATAAGGATTATAAACAGTCCCTGTTTCACTTATCCCATTGTCTGTTTAGCTGAAATCCAGCTTATTATCCAAACAAGAAAAGGAAGCAGGTGTGAATAAAACAGGTCTACTTCCTGGATCTGTAATTAGAAACTCACATTTTGTAAAAATAAATAAATGGATTTCATTCTCTTATGTTTATTTTTTCTAGATAATAAAACTTGTTATCACCATTTTCAAATTATAAGGAAGTAAAAATTATTTCTTTTTTAAATTACAGCTTTCATTCTAATTTTTGGGCAGCTGAGACAAAGAACTTGACAGATTCGGACATGAACACAGAACAGGTATTAAATACAAGATCTTTTTAGCTACAGGTGCTTTGACCTATATACAGATAGCCACTCAGACTGTGCAGGATAACCTCTTGAAGGCGCTTGTTGAACGTAATGTAGCATTATGCAAGGACTTCCTGTTTGATGATGGGCTGTAGTGCTTGCTGGATGGCCAGATGGATACTGCCACATTTGAGAAATCGTTTGTTATTAGCATCTGGGTGGTTGGTTGGCTGGGTGAGCAGCTGGATGGATAAAATACATAAAAGTCTCTCATTTTTAAAAAATACAGACTTGGAGAGCCAAGCATAGTGGTGTATGCCTGTAATCCTAGCAGTTGGCAGAGGTAGGAGGGTAATGGGTTTGAGGCCAGCCTGGGCTATATAGACTGTGCCTCGAAAAATTAAGAGCTGGAGATGTAGCTCGGTGGTAGAACAATAGCCTAGCATGTGTTCTTTACTCAAAACTGCCAGAAAGAAAAGCAGACTTACATTTTGAAAGTTGTTTGATTTATATTTTTTAAGGAGTTGTCAATGATTATATTATTAGAAATCATATATAAGAATCAGTGGATTCTCGGATTCTCTTATGTTTGCATTTACTTTTTTTTTTTTTTGGTCTTTATGAGACAGGGTCTCCCTGTAGCCCCAGCTGACCTCGAACTCACAGAGAACTCCCTGCCTCTGCCTCCCATGCCTGGCTTTATAAACTTTATTATTAAATTATCTATTATAAAAGCTTAGCAGTGTTTTATTTTAATGTATTATAGATTGAGCTGGGTGTGGTGGTACACGCCTTTAATCTGAGCCTTGAGAGGCAGAGACAAGCTGATCTTTGTGAGTTCAAGGGCAGCCTGATCTACATAGAAAGTTCCAGTCCAGCTGGAACTACAGGGAGACCCTGTCTCAAAATAAAAAAACTGAAGACATATATATATCTATTATAGATTGAAGTATGATTTTCATTTAAAGAGTTTCAGTCATGTACTTGTACCGTAACTTAAATTTTTTTTTTTTGTCTTTTTTTGAGACAGGGTCTCCTTGTAGCCCTAGCTGTCCTGGAACTCACTATGTAGACCAGGCTGGCCTCAAACTCACAAAGATCTGCCTGCCTCTGCCTCCCAAGTGCTGGGATTAAAGGTGTGTGCCACCACACCTCGCTAAATTTATTAAGAAAATGGTTTACTCATTTAAATGTCAAATATATTGAGGGGTACAAAAATAAAATATAATTACACTCAGCTTCCTACTTCTCTTTGAAAATGGATAGAAAGTAGTGGGTTTTCATCTCAGCCATTGAGAGCTGAGTCTCATCTAGAAAAACTGTCAATAACCTTCTGCATCCTTAGGAGGAAGCAAAGCAGGCAAAGTTCTTAGCCTGGGAAGGACTTCATAAATGATGCCTATTTCTATAGTGAATTTTGGTGAAAAGAATTAGGCCTATACGTAGCTGCATAAAATAAAGAAGACCTGATGAGGTGGCTCAGTGGGTAGAAGCACTTGCAACAAAAGCTTGACAACCTGAGTTTGATCCCCAGAATTCATTGCAGAAGGAGAAAAATGACTCCCAAAAGCTGACCAATGACCTCCATGTGTGCACACATAACACACGCAATAATAATAATAATAGATTTTAAAGAAAATGAAGAAATGAAAGCATAAGAAGCCCATCTACTATACAGGGATCCAAATGTTCATTCTTAACCTTCAAGAAAAAAATGGGTTCTCACTCTATAATCCATCACACCAGCCATGAACTTGAGGATGCTAATGGAATGTTAACTACAGTGGATCTACACTGTAACCATACTTTTTTTTTCTTTTTGGTCTTTTTGAGACAGGGTCTCCCTGTAGTCCCAGCTGGCCTGGAACTCTCTGTGTAGACCAGGTTGGCCTTGAACTCACAGAGATCTGCCTGCCTCTGCCTCCTAAAGGGACTAAAGGCATGCACCAACATTCCCAGCTCTAACCATACTTTTTAAACTATAAAGTATTTTACATAAATTAGCCTTGTAGGACCAGGGGTATAATTATTTGATAGAATGCTTGTCTCACAAGGACAAAGCCCTGGGTTTGATCCTAGCACTGTATGAACTGAGTGTGGTGGTACACACTTTAATTCCAACTCAGAAGTCTTAGAGGTAGGAGGCTCCAAAGTTCAAGGTCATTCTCAGCCACATAGGTTTAAGGCCAACCTGGGATGTAGAAGACCTGTTTGAGAACAAACAAAAACATAAAATTAGCTTTATAAAGCTTAATAATGCAAGTAAAATATTTTCTGAGTTTGTGACACATAGGAGGGATTCTGCCAAAGTGGTCTGCCATCATTTCTGTTGGGTTGTTTGTCCCACTGCCACTGCTTCTATGTGGGACATTGCTATTTGAAATAGGTGTCATTTGGGAATTCTTAACAATGGGATCTTTTTCCTCAAATTTATTTAAAAGCTACAAATTTGCTTCATTTTCATGGGTTCTTGTTTTGGTGTACGTGTGGTGATTTCTGCCCTCCAGGAACTAACCAAGCCCAGCTCTGCCTAGCTTTCAGGACCAGACAGAATGGCAGCAGCTTCACGGTGGTGTGGCTGTGGACCACTTGTAGTGATTTCTCTTTTTAGGGTTTGGGGTTAGTTGGGGGGTGGGGGGCTTGGCTGGTTCATTTTGGGGTGTTTTTTCTTTTTCTACATAGAGTCTTACTATGTACCCTAAATTGATCTTGAACCTGTGATCCTTCTGCCTCAGCCTCCTCAGTGCTATAATTACAGGCATGCCCCATCACACTGTGCTTATGATCTTTTTTATATTTACTTCTGTGTGTATGAGTGTTTTGCCTACATGTATATAAGTGCACCACAGGGGTGCAGTGCCCACAGAAGTGAGAAGAGGGTGTCAGATCCCTTGGAACTGGAGTTAGATGGTTGTTAGCTGCCATGTGGGTGCTGGGAACCAAACCTGGGTCCTCTGCAAGAGCAGCCAGTGCTTTTAACTGCTGAGCCATCTCTTCCGCCCTGCTTAGGATTTTTTAATGTCCTTTAAAATGTTGCTCATTGGCATATAAAAACTAAGTCATTTTATCTTTAAATAAGTTTAGGGGGAAAATGCTAATTGGATAGGAAAAAAAACACATTGTAAAATGTTTGGAGTGGGGATAACTACTTTTTAAGACATTTTTATCATTTTTAATTGTATGTATATGGGTATGTGCACATGAGTACAGGTCCCTGAGGAGGCCAGAGGCATCAAATCCCCCAGGAGTTACAGATGGTTGTGAGTCACCTGAGCCTGAGCCAACAGATGTGGGTACTGGGAACTGAATTTGGGTCCTCTGGAAGGGCAAAAGGCACTCTTAACCTCCGAGCCATCTCTCTAGCCCCTATAAAATGTTTTTGTTGCAATATATTGGTTGCTTTTATGTGTTGGATTTCTCAGTTCATTTTCGTTAAAATGTGCTGTGTTTTTTCCTGCTTTCATAACGTGCTTTTGAAGTAAAGTAAAAAAATATATTCTTTTCATTGCATTTCCAGAGATCTAATTGTATGACGAATGGTACTGAAATCAGAGTATCTCCACTACCCTTGGAAGGCCTTAACTTACCACAGGACAAGATTAAAGACAGGGCTCTGCAGCAGTCCTCACAAAGGTTAGTGTTAACCTCACTTTCCAGGCATGGTGGTTTACACCTATAATCCCAGTATTTAAAAAGCTGAGGTAGGAGGATCTGAAAGTTCAAGTCCAGTCTAAGCTGTCTGAAAAACAAAAAAACAAACCCAAACAAACAAAATTATTGCTTTCCTATATAATAAACAAACAGTATTTACCACATACATACTATTTTAATTATGTGCACTAATATATTTTATTGGTATACAATTCTTTGGCACCATTAGTCCTACTAAGGAAATTTCACAAAGGCTCTCAATAAAGGCTTGAATGAGTTAGTTTTGTGAATGTACTAGCAAAGAGAAAAGGGACACTAGTTTGCATTAGTTGCTATCAATCATATAAAATAGGATTATCCTCACAGCAAATCCTCAAGCAGTGATCTTAACCAGTTTCTATGGTAGCAGCATCATTAACCTTAACGTTTGTGACTTGAGGGCTGGCTAGCATGCTGACTCAGGGGGTAAAAGTTCTTGGCATGCAAGCCTGACAATCTGAGCTTAATATCCAAAACTCACAGTAGGAGAGAATGGATTCCTGAAAGTTGTCCTTTGACTTCTCACTCACCTGCACTCACACATATGCACACATAAGAGTAATAATAAAATTTTTAAAAACAAAATGAAATTGTGATTTGGAATATTCCCTGCACACTGGTGCTTGATCTGCCCTTGCAGTTTGGAGGTACTCTTCCAACACTCCTCATGAAGCTTAGCAACTGTGAAATATCACACCTGGCAAAGGAGAGATGAGCAAGTGGCAGGGATCCTAAAAGATTCCTCTGACAGTTTCAGCTATCAACTGTATCTGCAGTGTCAGAGATTAGATGTGAGACTGATAGGAGCAAAGTTTTCAGCAGGGAAGAATGAGGTGCCTTAGAGCAGATGAGAGGAGAGCGCACAATCCCCTGGAGCCTGGCTTCTCCCTCAGGCCTTCCTAACTCCCTGTCCTTGAAATTCATGGTGCATCAGCACTAACAGGCATGCACACACAAAAAATTAAATCATGATATAAAACTGCTTAAAAACTCCAAATCTGGCATTACTAATGCAGGATATCATAGAATACACTTGTATACCACACATTTTGTTTTATTTTGCTGAGGTATTCCACCTCTTTTTCTAGGATACTCTATGAGTTCTCCACGCAGCTTTCTTCGGACAATAAAATCTACTCTGAGTAAGATCATTTTGACCCCTTCATTTTACTCTAGAGGGAATGGGAATTAAGCCCCATAGAAACTGTAAGTTGGGTTGGGCACCAGTCTCTCCTACAACCAGCTTTGGATTATCAATTGTATATGTGCTTTTAGACTGTCAATCATTTTATCTTCAGTGGAAGTTTGTCCCTAAGTTACTGATACTGATTCTTACTTATTTTGATAAATTAGAATGTCAAAGTTTGCCAGGCATGGTAGCGCATGCCTTTAATCCCAGCACTTAGGAGGCAGAGGCAGGCAGATCTTTTTGAGGTCAAGGCCAGCCTGGTCTACATAGCAAGTTACAAGCCAGCTAGGGCTATAGGAGACCACAGTCTCAAAAAGACACACACACACAAAAAAGTCAAAGTTGTCCTGGGAAGATTATCTGTAGTAGCTCCAGGACTCAAGTCCTATTCCTGGAGGTTTGTCACCTCACCAGCTCTTTGCAAATGGTGTCATCATTGGTTTCTATTTTAGTTATACTTTTAAGTTACATTTTTTAGGAAAATAATCTATTTTTGGTTTCATTTATTCCAAAACTTGGTTGTTTTAAACCAAGTTCCTGTGGATCTGATTTAAAATTCGATGGTTTGCCAGGCATAGTGGTGCACACCTTTAGTGCCAGCGCTTAAGAGGCAGAGGCAGGCAGATCTCTGTGAGATTAAGGCCACCCCTGAGCTATAAGGAAACTCTTCTATTAATTAATTAATAATATATAATAAATAAATGGGTTTACATAGCCACCTCAGTTTGCTTAATCAGCAATTGAATAGTCATTTTCAATGACTATTGTAAATGTAATGCTATTTACATTTTCTCTTAACCCACTAGTTTCAGCTAACTACAATCAAATTTATAATAGTATCCAGGTTTTCTTATAAGAGATACTAAAATATAGTTATAAAGTAGTATAAGAAATGTGTCAAAGTAATTAAAAATTACTACCATACTTTTGTTCATGAATTTACTTGTTAGAATTTGTTTCCTCTACAAAAATTTTGAGAAAAAAATTTTTTTTGTTCAGTGTATTTCCCAATTTGAATACAAGATACTGTCCTCAGAGCAGAGCAAGACTTGATATTCTGCCCCTGCGCCTGGGTCCGTCACTCTCTCCTGCAGGTGCTTTGCAGAGGGCTCAGGCCCCTTTGTGGGTTACAGCCAGAAGCTATGGGAAGTGCTGGCTCCTCTGAATGCCATGCCCACCCAGTGCAGACATTCTGTTGCCCTCGGCTCGTCTCTCTCTCTCTCTCTCTCTCTCTCTCTCTCTCTCTCTCTCTCTCTCTCTCTCTGCTATGAATGTTTCATAAAGATAGGAAATTCTATGCCATTAAATGATATTTTCTCACATTTAGTATTGATCCTTTTTTAATTTGGAAAAGCAGGCATAGATTTATTTTGTGATGCTCCCCCTAATGACGATCAGTGGCAGTACATCTGGAGTCGAATAGGCGTTCCTGCGTGCGTGCTTGTGCACCTGCCTTGTGAGATGAGTAACAGGTATTTTGTGCTTTCAGTGAAGAAGACCTGCTGTACCTGAACTTCATCCAGGATGTAACAGATGAAATTCTGAAACTTGGTTTATTTTCCAACAGGTTAGATTTTTCTTTGTGTGTTACGGTTGAGATATACATTCAATGTTTTTCACATAGTATGATTTTTTTTTTACATTACTTTTACCTATTAGGAAGTGAAAAGTTTTATTTTTTATTATCATGTTCTTATAACTGATAGTAAGTTATAAAGAATATTTCATTCATACTCTGGGACAAGTTCATAGTTTGGATGAATTATAGGAAAGGTTTTATTTATTTGAATATCATTTTGTCTAGGTTACACCAAACTAAAGTTAAATTTTGCTACCTGTTTTTTTTGCAAAGCTCTGTAATCTTTATTTATTATTTTCATTTTATGTGTATGAGTGTATTCCCTGCATATGTATAAGTGCATCTGTGTTGTGCAGTGCCTGCAGAGGTCAGAAGAGGTTGTTGGATTCCCATGGAACTGGAGTTACAGATGGTTGTTAACCACCATGTGGGTGCTGGGAATCAAACCCAGTCCTTTGCAAGAGCAGCCAGTGCTCTTAACCACTGACTCATATCTCCAGCCCCAAAGCTCTGTAATCTTTTATTACCATTAGAAACTGCCACAAGAATCAAAAGCAAGCTTTTTTTTTGGTCTTTTTGAGACAGGGTCTCCCTGTAGCCCCAGCTGTCCTGGAACTCACTATGTAGACCAGGCTGGCCTTGAACTCACAGAGATCCACCTGCCTGTGCCTCCTGAGTGCTGGGACTAAAGGTGTGCACCACCATGCCCAACTCAAAAACAAGCTTTTTAAAAATCTTTACTACATTTATTGTGTTTGTGTGTGTCTCTGTGTGTGTGTCTCTGTGTGTCTATACATTACTACATTTATTGTGTTTGTGTGTGTCTGTATGTGTGTGTGTGTGTGTGTGTGTGTGTATGCATGTGGGCTCACATTCACGTGTGCATGCATGCATGCCACAGTGCACATATGGAGACCAGAGGACAACATTTTCTCCTTCTACTATATGATTGCTGGAGATTGAATTCAGGTCATCAAGCTTGGCAGGAAGCACTTTCACCTGCTAACCATTTCACCAGCCCACAAGCATTCTTATTACAACTCTTAGCACTATTAAATCTGAAAAAATAAGAACAAATGAAAAGCTAGGTTTGTATACTGAATGAGAAATGTAGAGTTTGAAAAGCCAATTAACTATTATGTAGCTTAAGGAAGATATGCACTAGATATAATTCAAACATTGCTGTGTCTAAAATCCACTGGGCACTAGGCTCTGCTTCATGTGATGCAGCATAGGACCCTGTGTGTTCTATACACTTTTATAGTCATAGTAAGATGCAAGAACACACATAGGGCACTGTGTCTGTTCTTTCATCGAGAGTTTACAAGGCTGACACTTCCATTATTGAAATAAAAAAAACTATATGGAAAAGAGCTAAGGTTGGCAGTAATGGCATTTTCCTTTCTTATTTAAAAAAAGAAAAGAAAAAGAAGTAGTATTGGCTAATAGGGGCTGGAGAGATGGCTCAGGGGTTTAGAACACTTGCTGTGCAACCAGGAGTTTGGATCCCAGTATTCACACAACAAGCTGGATATGGCTTCACAAAAACCTGCAACCCCAGTAGTGTGGCAAGTAGACACCAGAGGATTGTTGGGGCTTGCTGGCTACCAGCCTCGCTGAAAAGCACAAGCTCCAGATTCAGAGAGAGCCTGCCTCAAAGGAGTAGGCGGAAGATGATAAGAGGAGGACACCTGATACCTTCCTTTGACCACTGAGTGTTTGTGTACGTGTGCATACCCACACACATGTGCACATATACCACATATACCACATACATATACACAAAAAAACTTTTTCAGTTGATTTAAAAATTGTGTAATGGGGCAAGAGAGATGGCTCAGTAGTTAAAAGAACTGGCTGGACCCAGATTCAGTTCTTAGCACTCACATGGCAGCTAACAACCTTACATAACTCCAGTTCCAGGGGATCCAGTGCCCTCTTTTGGCCTCCGTAGGCATATGGTACACTTACATACATGCAGGCAGAACATTCATATTCATAAAATATAAATAAAAATAAATGGTAATTGCATAATGGGTACAAGATGCAACAATTTTAGAGAGCTGTTTCCCAACAGTCTGAATGTTTAACATTACTGAATTATATATTTTAAAGTTATTATGATGGTAAATTTTTATGCTTTTTACCATAAAACCAAAATTTGCATATCACATTTTTGCTTAAAATACTTTCCTTAAAATCATAACCCCATTTACTACAGCTTTTTTTTTTTTTTTTTTTGGTCTTTTTGAGACAGGATCTCCCTGTAGCCCCAGCTGGCCTGATACTCAATATGTACACCAAGCAGGCCCTGAACTCACAGAGATCTGCCTGCCTCTGCCTCCCAAGTGCTGGGATTAAAGGTGTGCACCACCATGCCTGGCAATTTACTACAGCATTTTTAATAATAGCACCAAAAATAGAACCAACCTAAATATTGGATAAAAAGGTTTATTTGAACAGATTATAGATAATATATGAGTGAGTTCTGTTCAGCAATTTAAAATTATGCTGTAGAGCTGGGCCTGGCATGAGTTCAAAATGCATGTCTTCGTACTGAAAGATGCTCAAAGTGTATCTAGTTGATAAAAAAAAGAAATGTAGGTACCCATAGTATATGATGTTTAATTCAACTTGGGGAAATGTACAAGCATAGAAAACACTGGTGTGAATGTTTCAGAATGTTGACAGCAGCTATGAAGGATACAAGTTTCTTGGTCCTTTTTAAAATTGAACAATATTTCAGAATGCCCACTCTTTAAGGTGGACTCATGATTATGAATGATAATAACTTGACAAATGATCAAGGAAATCAATTGTTTTTCAAAAAACCTGGTAATACATTAATGTGATGCTGGGCATGATGTACTAGAAAGAAAAAGTTTCTTGAAACCAATCACATCTGGGTTAAATTCTGTGAATGGCTTTGTGACCTTAGGGGAGAAGAAACTATCTTAAGAGACATGATTCTCATCCTTACAATGGTTTTCCCAATGCTTTTCACTCTTGACACTGGTTAGAAAGAGAGGTAAAGTGATTGTTTTATGAGCCAAGTGTAGTGGCACACACCTTTAATCCCAGCAGTTGGGAGGCTGGTGGATGTCTGTGCATTCAAGGCCAGCCTGGTCTACACAGTGAGTTCCAGGCCAGATGGGGCCAATATAATTAGACCCTGTCTCAAAAAAAATTACGGGTCTAGCATGAGTATCTGGTACTAACATATAGGTCGCTAAGCAGATTCATCATTGGTGGAATATTTTGGGTATGCTTTAGGAGCCAAGGTGAAACAGCTCTATGAACATTTTCTTTAGGGTTTGGGTTTGAACATGCAGATGTCTGAGAAATGGAGGGGGAGGTATTTTTGGTGTTTGTTTACTGAAAAGACAGCTTTATGGGGATTGTGTGAGTGGGTTTTTGTGCCTCACCTAAAACATTTCATTCATAGAAACAGTACCACCCAGTCTTTCAGAAATGTTGGCATCTATTATGTAATTTGAGGCAAACTCAGCAGAAGCCAGGCTGGCTGCCAGGTTGGAGAACTTGATAGAACAAGATTAATTGCCAGCTTTACAGAGAAAAAGATTCATCTGGAAACCATTTTCAAGCCTTTATTAGTTTTCATATCATGTGGCTGTTGTATATTTAATGATGTTCTGGTTTTAAGATACTAATCTTTTTCTTTATCATTTGCAGGTTTTTAGAACGACTTTTTGAGCGACATATAAAACAAAATAAACATCATTTGGAGGAGGTTTGTCTTTGTTTAGAATTTAGTTCAGGTTTTTCTGTGCTCTCGAAGAATGCATTTAAAAGGGTTTTTTTCCAAACCCCTTGCATTTTTGTCAGGGAAAGGGAGCGGGGGGGGGCGGGCAGGAAAATACTAATCCTGCGGAGACCAGCAGCACTACAGAAAAAGTGATTGTTTTACCAGTTTAGCTAATGTAGTGATCCTCATAATTCTTTCCTTAATCCTAAGGAAAAAATGCGCCGCCTGCTGCATGGTCTGAAAGTTGACTTAGGCTGCACATCTGAGGAAAATCCAGCAAAGCAAAACAATGACAGAATGTCGAATTTACCTGATTTTCAGAAGGCTCTGAATTCAAACCAAAGTGAATTAAACAGTATCCTTCAACTGGAATGTCAGCAATACCAAGAGGCTCTGGACATGTCGTCTATGCCAAAGGATGACAAGATGTTCTCCTTACCAGGCGAGTTTCTGAGGTCCAGCCATAAGCACAAGTGTTCAGAAGACGTTACAGTTAATCAGGTGAATGACGAGACAGATCTTGAAGTTTCAACCTGGGATGAAAATAATCCAGGTATTTCCAACAGCTTGATGGACCAGGAAACCTCTGTGGACATCGTTGAATGTGATAGTGACACCAAAAAGCTTGAGGCATCCAGGGAGTTATGTTGTCTCAGCACATCCCCGTCCCTTCAGTACCCAAGCATCAAAGGTGGCATTAATCATGGCAAGGAATTATCAACTCTCAGAATCATGGAAATGAGCACTGAAGGCTGACCATTGGATCTTCATTAATAAATACTCCACATGGCCAGTAACGCATTATCACTTTTCTTTTCCCTCCTACATGTTAAGATTTCTGTATTTTCAGTGCTACATAATAAATTACCATAAATTTAGCAGCTTGAAACACCACACATTTATTATTAATCCCAGTCTGTGGTCCAGGATCGAAGCACAGCATTGATGGGTCCTCTATTCTTGGGCTCACAAGCAGCAGTCAAGGTGGCTTTCAGGGCTGATCTCACCCAGAGGCTTGACTGATGGGGAATCAGCATCTGGGTTCAGTTCGTGGCAGAATTATTTTTCTTGGAGCTGAAAATCTGAGATGTGAGAGCTTCATTTTTGGCTAACTGGTAGACAGAAGGCTGCCTGCCCTCTCCTTAAGCAGATCACAGAATGGTGACTTGCTTTTTCAAGGCCTAGGAGAGCCACAGAGATTACTAGCAAAATGAAGTGACTCTCCCTCACCTTTGCCGTACTCTTTTGGTTAGAAGCCAGCAAATCACAGGTGTCTCCACACTTAAGGGGTAAGGTACATTACACAAGGGTAAGTAGGAAGCCAGAGGGTAGGGTTCATCAGAGTTACCTGAGGAGCTGTTGGCCACTACTTCAGAAGTTGCTTTGCAGAGGAACATGTTTTACCCAGATGTACTTCATAGGCATTGGGAAATGGCTTATGATCCTGAGTGGTCTTAAAACATTACATCTTGCAATGTTATAATATCTCTGACTTTTTTTCTCAGAAACCTCAAGGACCTTTTTTATCAATGTGGCAGGGTACCTGTCAATTCTTGAAATAGTATCTGTTCTCATGAATATAAACATTTCACCTGTGTGGCAGCTCTCCCTTCCCCTTATGGGTTCATGGGTGGGATCTCAAGATGGCCATGGTGGTACAGGCTTGTAATCCTAGAACACAAAATGCAGAGGCCAGAGGACTGTGCGTTTGACACCAGCCTGTGCAATGGCAGAGACTCTGCCTCAAAGAAAAACAAGAAACCAAATCCAAACAAACGTGTTTTAAGATACCTCTAATTTTGCCTTTTCTACTCTTTTCAATAAGATTGAATATTGAACAGCTGTAATGTGCTAAGTTTTCTGCCAAGACACTGTCAAGGATAAAAAGATACATTAATAACCTAAGCATTCTAAAGACTTAGCAGTGGCCTCCAACTAACCTGTTCTTTCATCATCCTTTGCTTAAACCAGTATTTCCCATACCATGGGAGAGTAGATGTTTTATGGTTTAAGGATGACAAGCTCACCTTATCCCTGAGATGACTGTCACCACTGTCTTTGGGAAGAAACTACGGTGTTGGGGCTGAGTTTCCACCCCTTTCTACCCCAATGCCGGTGTCTCATAATGCAGCCCTTCCTCAACCTTACCTGGCCCTCACTCTTCCCCCCTTAACTTCTGGAACTTGCTGTGTAGCTGAGGATGACTGTACTTCTGAGCCTCCTGCATTCTCATCCTGAGTGCTAGTATTCTAGGCATACGTCACCACACCAGTTCTGTAGGGTGCTGAGCATCAAATCCAGACCTTTGTGCGTGCTAGGCACTCTACCAACTGAGCCCACAACTCCAGCCCCTTCCCTAACTTTCTAAGCAGCATCTTTATCGCTCCTCAGCCTTTTGACCAAGATAAGTGTAGACAGCATCTTTTCCTACCCTTCAGCCATCTTAAATCTCCTAACCACCTCAGCCCAGCCTGGCTGTCCTCATCCACGCCTCTGTTCAGTTCCTGGACTCATCTTTCCTCTGTTGCAGCTTTATTCCACACACCCTCAGCACCTCTGCCCTGTCCGTCTTCCTTGGTGGAACTGCCATCTCTCCGAGGCTTTGTCAGTGACTTTCTGCTCCTCTCAACTCTGTATACACTGCTGTGGCACTGTGGCCATCTTTATGTTCTGACTCTGGATCCAGGTTTCTGTATTTGCAGTGCTGGCCCCATCTTAATGTGTCCCTCAGGACACACTGAGGTTATCCTTTAGCTACTTTTTAAATTTTGTTTTAAAAGATGAGTTGGGGCATGGTGGTACATACCTTTAATCCCAGCACTCAGGAGGCAGAGGCAGGTGGATCTCAAGTTCGAGGCTAGCCTAGTCTTCATAGCAACGTTCAGGCCAGCTGGGGCTACAGGGAGACCCTGTCTCAAAAAGGCCCCCCCCAAAAAATTAAAATGGTTCTTGGGATAGTAAAAGCTGTGTAAGGTAGGATCTAAATAGTGAATTTGGGGGGGGGGGAACTGGCCTAGACTCTTGAAACAGCATCTCAATTTACCTCTTCCCTGCCTCACTCAGCCTGTCTGCCACTCTGAGACTTTAATTGTGCTAACTATGCTTTGAGCCAGATTGCCTTGGTTTGATTCCTCCTGAGATGGATTGTTGAACCTGTTGTCTCAACACTTGGATGAGTATAATTATAGCACCTTAATCCTTGTAAGAATTAAACAAGTTTTATGAGAATTAATACCTACAGGCTGTATTTAAAACACAGCATGCTGCTTTCTTTTAATGTTCTACTTGATGAACCATATGAAGTCCTAGTCTCCTGGTAATTTTATATTTATGTGTATTTGTGTTTTGCCTGCATGTACATTAGTGCACCCCTGTCATGCAATGTCCACAGAGGCCAGAAGAAGGCATCTGATCCCCTGGAACTGGAGTTAAGGACAGCTGGCCTCTATGTGGGTTCTGGGAACTAAACCTGAGTCCTCTGCAAGATCAGCCAATGCTTTTAACTGTTGAGCCATTTCTCCAGCCCCCAAATATATTATTTTCATTTTGTGGGGGGTTATTTTTGTTTGTTTGACAAGGTTGCCCTGTAGCCTCAACTGACCTGGAACTTGCTATGTAGACCAGGCTAGCCTCAATCTCAGAGATCTGCCTGCCTCTGCCTCCAGAGTGCTGGCACTAAAGGCATGCACCACCATGTTTTTTAAGTTTGTTTTTTTTTTTTTATTGTTTTCCTTCCCAGGTCATCTCTCTCCATCCTCCTTTAGGCATCCTGGACTGCTTGAACGTCAGAGGGCCTCCGTTCTGCATGTCTTTTGACTTGCTGTCTGCTCACACCCTTTCCTTCTGCAGTACCTTGGAGCCTTGCTTTGATTGCTCTGACATTCTCTCTGCCTACTCCACCTGAGATCTGGAATATTTCCTATCTACAGTATGAACTATACTGTTCTGTTTATAATCGTCTCTGTACTCTAGATTGTCAGCTCTGGAAGAAAGACCTCTGTCTCTTTGGGTTCCCAAATCATAGTCTACTTAGCACAGTACATTCATTCATGAAGGAAGATGGTTTGAGGAGCAATTTAGTTACAGACCAGGTGGTAGGGAACAGAGGTCAGCCCTTCCTCTTTATACTCTGTAAAATTTCCACTGCAGAGAGGAGAATGTAGCAAATGACTAAGGTACATGAGAATTTCTTCATTTACTCACAGTTTATTTTTTGGAGACAGAGTCTTGCTGCATAGCCCTGACTAGCCTGGAACTCACTATGTGCTCAGACTAGCCTCAAACTCATGTTGAAAATGTCTGCCTTGCTTCTTGAGTACTGGGATCACAGACATGCACCACGATGTACAGCTGCTTCCATTTCAAATGATATAAAAAAGGAATTAGCAACTTCCTTTAGAAAGCTTTGGTTAAAAAGACAAGTTTTCACATCTAATTATTAAGGAGCAAATTTTTATGCTTTGAAGAATTATTTTTAATCATTTTTATTTATATACCCACTTTCCAGGTAGCACCCTCCCATAGCCTTCCCCCCCCACTCAACTAGAGTCCTTATACTCTGATATCCCTGCTACTGTCTACTGTGTTGTCAGCACCCCCAGCCTTTCCCCACTACTTGTCCTTCTGGTGAATCTCGTCAGCCTATCTCGAGGTCTTCGTTTTAGGAGGGTCAGCTGTTCCTCATCTAGCAGTATTCAGCTGTCAATATTCCTTTGGATAAGACTGGGGTCTGC